TGACACAGCCATCAGACCTGAAAAAAAAAGATGCTCTGATTAAAAAAGCAATCATAGATGACTTAAATACTACTGAGAATCCTCTGTGGATTGAACAGTAAGTTTATCTCTACTTCCTTTTTTCAAGGGGCGAACAAAGCTATTTTATTTAAATGCCAAAGCTAATGTATTCTTCTCTTTTGTTTTATAATAGGAAACTAAAATTATATGAAGAACAAGAATTGACCATGCAGGTGTTTTGTGAGCCTGATCACAGTGCAGATGCTGAATGCAGAGACAGTGCTGACTTTTCTCATGTAAGTTGACTATAAATTGAAAACAAAAAATAAAAATCCACTTATCGATTATTTAAAAAAAAAATCAGCCCATATTTTGACTTTTATTTTTTGAATTCCTTTTTTACAGGTTGACAATACGTATGCGACAATACAACATCCCAATAGAAGAGGTTCGAATGATGCTGCTGATGATGGTGGGAACTATGCAACATTAAGAGGGACTGACAACCATGGAAATCACAGAGATGTAAGGGTATTAACTATCTATCCAACCGCTTTTCCCATCTTTTCATGTCAGTTGGTGCTCAGAGTTTTTGTTTTGTTTTTTACAGATGTATGAAGCTGCTCTTGGTTTCCAAGGTTCAACATTTCAAGTTCCTGACCAACTGCCTGCTCTCCCTCCATTACCTGGTTCGGCAGCGGGCAGTGTACGGGTTAACCACCACCACCACCATCACCACAGTCAGCCACATTATGTTGCAGAGCTTATATGAACAATAAGTTGTTTTTTTAGTGCTAAGTGCATTTGTTGTTGGGCTGGTCCAGGACATTTTTTCTTGGTCCAGTATTCAAATTGTTCCTGTTTTTTGTTAGCAATTTGAGACTTTATTTAAAAGCATGTTACTTAATGGCCATGATTGATTCTGTGACTGACTGAAGAATCATGAAAGACTTCTTTATTGTTTCTTTGTTCCGTCCTGTAATTCTGTCCAAAATGGCTGCTTTACAGTCCAGTCTGTCTCTTTATGTGCCAATCAGCATTGTGTCATAAAGATAACTGTGTCAAAAAGTGGTTGTGTTCAGTGTTGTTTTTTTATAGATAATATTTCTGTCATGTTGAATAGTTATCAGAAAAAGTAGTTGTTGTAAGTCATGACCAAGCTTTATTCAGTGAACATTTATTTGTTCTGAGATCAGAAGAACAAACCTCTTGTGATATCATTTGGATGTTTTGTACTATCTTAATTTGAAAGTGGTTTTTGTACCCTGTATTGTATATAAAAAGATGTCCCTCTGTACCTTCAGAACAAGCATCACATTTCAATCAAATGCTGTGCATTTGTTTGTTTATAGTATTTCATTAAGGCTATTTGTAATATTTTTAACAATTTATGATCAACTATTGGTCAAATATATGTGATGTATGCCATGCCTGCTTTTTTAAAAAAAAGTGGCTAAGTATGGATTTTTGTTAATATTTCAATACCTTATTTGGGAGGAAGTAATTACTCTGTACCATTGCATGTACATGCATACCATGATTATTTGGAGAAAAGACTGACAAGTGTGGGTGAAAGCAGTTGATTCACATGAAGTTCTTTATGTAGCATATGTCATCAATAATTTATGCGAGTTATTATAGAATTGTGATGACTGTGTTTTATACACATCGATATTATTTACACTTTGATGTACAAAGGTGTAATGGAACATCACATCAAATGTGTGCCGATTTGCTGCTCAGAAATTAATAAGCATAAGACCTAGATAGTTTTATAATTGTTTTGAATTTTATTTTGTGTACATAATGTAAGTGAATACTACATGTCCAGTTACCCATTGCTCTAATAGTCACAGAAGTGATGGGGTCTACGAATGTGACATTCCAATTCATTCTGTAATGAAAGTCATAATTTTGCACTCCTTTATTTCTAGTGTTCATAATGTTCAGAAGATCTTTCAAGCCACACGTAATAAATGCTCAATGCCATGATAACATGTTAAATTTCATTCCAATCTTTGCAAGGCTATTGAATTTAGTTTAATGGCTGTGGAAAAATTGCAACACTAGTATGTTAGCAGGCCGGTTCCATAGAGCGGTGCATGTGGCACAGCCTTAATGTCTTGTGATACTGAAGAATTCAAAATATGTGTACAGTATTTGTTTTCCAGTAATTATTTTGTTGACTCGAGTCGATTCTTTTGTAAAGTCGTCAATTGCCATGACTTTCAATTGATGACTTTATTATTGCTACTATTATTGTTGTTGTGCAAAATATACATTTTGTGTACTACGCATTTTTAACGAATCTGCCTTCTTATTTCTGTTCTACCACATTTTCTATCCATCATTTTATCAGAACTAATACACACCCACACCCGCACTAGTAGAATGAGGCGCAGACGAGAAGTCGGGGAGGTGGAGAGTCGGAGTCCGTATTCCATTTCATCGCCCAGGCGGCCTGCCCTCTGGCGGGGGAATGACAGGGGTGAGTCATTGTGCAACGCCCTCCCCCCTCCCCTCCCC